AAAAAACAATACCGTTTATTCAAAGGCTAAAACCACAGGCGGCTCTAAATTCACCTAATTTCACTCATTCAAACGCAAGCGTCAAATTCACTTTCAAGAGCTTTCAGTTCATGTGAACATGTGAACAAATACAAATCTGTACTCCTTTAATAAAATACCCAACACTCACATGTAAATAAATGGTTAAAAACAAACAAATAAATATAAAGGAAAGGACAGATAAACAAACAAACAAAAAAAACCCCCTGCTAAATCTATAGACTCTGAAGGTCTGTGAACCACACCATCATGTCAAAGCTGAAGCCTTTTCCCGGAGGCCCCGGAGGGCCCGGCTGACCCCTGGGGCCCTCAGATCCCGTCTGTCCTGGGAGCCCCGGCTGGCCTGCATCCCCCTGACAGACAGAGATCACTTCTAACGTTATCAACAGCCTAGTCTTCAAACTAATGATACATCTCAGATTATTTGAAGTAGTTAATCTACAAGACAAGTAGCTGATCCAAATGACTTTACCTTTGGTCCCATGATTCCAGGTAAACCTGGTTCACCCTGCCAAAAAACACGAGAGGTGTCAAAATCACTGTTTGGAAACAGATTTGATTCTGCAGGAGGGTTTGGAGCGACACAAGGCTGAAGATCAGAACATTATAAGCATGAAAAAGACAAGCTGTGGAAGGTGTGACTTCACTAAATGTGTATGTATAATAATCATGCATCTAAATGTTCAAAGACAGCAAGAGAGGAACACAGGAATTAAATAAACAATAAAACCAACCAACGGTGACAAATACAAATGCAAGAAAATATACCCCTGGAAAAAGCCATGTTTCATATTCAGATATCTTACTTTCCGTCCTTTCTTATACATATACTGTATATAGTTGAGTCAGATATAGAATTATATATAAACTCAGGATTGTGAGAAAAAGAATTGCGATAAAAAGTCATAAAAATACTTTTTTTTTAAATGTTACATTTTAAAAGTTTTTTTTTATTCCATTTGCAACAGCAAGAGAGGAACACAGGAATTAAATAAACAATAAAACCAACCAACGGTGACAAATACAAATGCAAGAAAATATACCCCTGGAAAAAGCCATGTTTCATATTCAGATATCTTACTTTCCGTCCTTTCTCTCCTTCTTTGCCTGTTTGTCCGTCTCGCCCATTTTCACCCTAAAATGAGAGAAATCACCACATAAGGACCTCCTGCATATATCTAATATTAATAATCAATAACTGTCTATATGGTTTAATCTGAAGTGTGTTTCTCACACTCTCATTTCTTGACTCAGGTGTTATTAGTCTTTTGTTGAGCAGTCTTTCAGGAGAAGCGTGAGGTATTTGGTGACAGTGTTTCAGCAGGAAACAGGAAGTTAGTTATAGTTTTGTCCTTTCCAAAGGCAGTTTCCCCATCATAACATCATACGAGCTCTCATATGAAGAAGAAATGAACCCTGAACTCCGTCATCATCACCCCTCGTCTGATCTGAGCTCGATTCACAGCTTTACGGGTCAGTGTTCATCCCAAAACTTTATTGGATTAATGCTATCTGATTGGCTCGGGAAAAAAAACTATTCATTTTCATTTTCACTCAAGACAAAACATTTGGGAACAATTATTTCAATCTGGAGGTCTGGATAAGAATGTAATGTAATGTTTCTGAGAACTGTAATAACTCTTCAAACTGTCCAGAAATGGCATTATGACAAAAAAAATAAAAAATAAAAAATAATATATATATATATATATATATATATTATATAC